GTCTCCATCCCAAAACCACTAAAAGACAGCCTCAAAGTAGAATCATACCGCCCAATCTCACTTATAAACCAAGACTACAAGATATTCACACCAATCTTGGCCAACCGCCTAAAAATCTTCCTACACAAGTTAATAGCCCCAGACCAGACTGGCTTTGTCCCTGGCTGCGATATAACAGACCCCATCAGGAAACTACTGAACCTGATCAAACACAGCAAGGCAACTAAACTCCCATTGACAATTATGTCCCTAGACATCCTCAAAGCCTTTGATTGCTTAGAGTGGAAATACCGTATTTTTCACACCATAGGGCACACCGGACCATAGGGCTTAGGGGGGGGGGATTCAAGAAAAAAAATATTCCCCCCCCAGCCCCAAAGAGCAGCGTACAGGCTGCGCACAACCTCTCCCTGCCGGAGGAGTTGCGCGCGGCTGAGGCACAAGCCAAGGCAGCGAGCGGGATGGATCCCGCTCACTGTTTTGGCTTCCCCTTTAGCCCCGGGCAGCCTCTACCTCCTGGGAGAGGCTGCGTGAGGCTAAAGAATCCATAGCCCCGTGCAGCCTCTCCTTGCCGGAGGGGTTACGCACGGCTATGGAACAAGCCAAGGCAGCGAGCAGGATGGATCCCGCTCGCTGCTTTGGCTTCCTCTTTAGCCCCGTGCAATCTCTCCCTGCCGGGAGAGGCTGCGTGGAGCTAAAGAAGTCATAGCCCTGTACAGCCTCTCCCTGCTGGAGGGGTTGCGCGTGGCTATGGCACAAGCTTGCATTCGCTCCATAGGACGCACACACATTTCCCCTCAATTTTTGGAGGGGAAAAACTGTGTCCAATAGAGCGAAAAATATGGTACATATTAGCAGTACTAACATGAAATTTGGCCCCAACTTCCTACAAATCCTCAAACAAATATACTCCCAAGCCTCAGCAAAATGCAGAACTAACAATATGGATTCTAATACTATAGCTATCCGAAAGAGGCACGAAACAAGGATGCCCACTGTCTCCTTTATCCTTGCTCTGGAACCCTTAGCAATCTGAATCCGAGCAGCCACAGACATCAAAGGAGTGGAAATAAAAGGCAGATCCTATAAATTAGGGTTCTTTGCAGATGACCTAATGGTCACAACACCAGACCCCATAAGCACAGCAACCTCTCTAATCAGAGAACTCAACACATTTGCAATGGTGTTGGGCCTACAGGTAAATTTTACAAAGTCAGAAGCTATGTGCTTCAACCCCCCTCCTCACACCCAAAAAGAACTCACTAAGGTCACCAAAATAAAACTTTGCCACACCAAGTTCAGATACCTAGGGGTACAAATAACCAGAAACCTCAATAAATTGTACCTCCACAACTACAAGCTGCTGTGGCAACAAATTAACAAAGACCTAAAGAGCTGGGACGCAGGTGGCGCTGTGGGTTAAACCACAGAGCCTAGGACTTGCCGATCAGAAGGTCAGCAGTTCGAATCCCCACCACGGGGTGAGCTCCCGTGGCTCGGTCCCTGCTCCTGCCAACCTAGCAGATCAAAAGCACGTCCAAGTGCAAGTAGATAAATAGGTACCGCTCCTGCGGGAAGGTAAACGGCGTTTCCGTGCGCTGCTCTGGTTCACCAGAAGCGGCTTAGTCATGCTGGCCACATGACCTGGAAGCTGTACGCCGGCTCCCTCGGCCAATAAAGCGAGATGAGAGCCGCAACACCAGAGTCGGTCACGACTGGACCTAATGGTCAGAAGTCGCTTTACCTTAAAGAGATGGAACAACATAAATTTCACTCTCTCAGACAAAATAGCCATGATCAAAATGATCACCCTCCCAAAACTAACCTACCTATTCCAAACCCTCCCAATCTGGATTCCCCCAACCCAACTCCACAGATGGCAGAGAAAACTACACTCTTTTATCTTCTCACATAAAAAACCAAGAATAAGCCCCAAATACCTGCACCTCCTCACCTCAGAAGGAGGATGGGGAATCCCCAACATAGAAGCATACTAGATTGCCAACCAAATACGCCATATAATCCCATATAAACTAGAAGATGAGACAAAACAATGGGTACACCTAGAGAGGGACACAATTGAAAATACCTGCACCACAACATACCCACTCCTCCCAAACAAACTAAAGAAAATTCCCACAACACTTAACAGGTACACACAGACCATGCTCAAAGCATGGAAAACAGAAATAGGCAAACTATACCCAACCCCAACCCCACTAATCCCCCTGGCATCCCACCCATTATTCCACCATGTAGCACAAAACCTCCAGATAAAAACCTCAGGGCCTCAGAATATAATCTTGGTATCACTGGCGGAGGAATGGGGGGCGGGGGGAGTGCAGCGCCCCCGGCACCATCAGAGAGGGTGGTACCATCAGCATGCCATGCCCCCAGGACGCATGCCACGCCCCCCACGGGTGACATACCACTCCCCCGGGACGCGCGCCATGCCCCCGGGACACACGCCAGCCATGCCCTTGCCTGCTCTCCGCCGGAGCACTCAGCTTCGCCACTACTTGGTATCCGAGTAGGTTCATATAGAAAGCAGAAGTCCTTGAGGTATTACCAGTGCTTTTTTTCTTTAAAATGTTTAGGAGTACTCTAATTTTCCTACTCATATTGAAATACTGCCCCTCAATGAGGCCAAACTTAGATTCACAAAATGTTTAGGTATGCGTACCCCTGCATCCCCAGGCGGCGCTGTGGGTAAAACCTCCGTGCCTAGGACTTGCTGATCGTAAGGTCGGCGGTTCGAATCCCCGCGGCGGGGTGAGCTCCCGTCGTTCGGTCCCAGCTCCTGCCCACCTAGCAGTTCGAAAGCGCCCCTAAGTGCAAGTAGATAAATAGGTACCGCTTTATAGCAGGAAGGTAAACAGCGTTTCCGTGTGCGGCACTGGTGCTGGCTCACCAGTGCAGCTTCGTCACGCTGGCCACGTGACCCGGAAGTGTCTTCGGACGGCGCCGGCTCCTGGCCTCTTAAGTGAGAAGGGCGCACAACCCTAGTCGGTCACGACTGGCCCGTACCTTTACCTTTCTTACCCCTGCATCCCCCCAGAAAAAAAGTCCTAGGTATTACGGTATTATTATTATTATCATTATGGCTTTAAAGATCCAAACCAGCACTTTGAATTGGGCCTGGAAACTAAATTTTTTTAATGTATTTTTTATTAAAGATTTCTTGGTTTACAAAATTATGTGCAATGTCTCTTTTTTCAAGTTACATTTTCTACAATCAGTTTCATTTGCTGAGACATTAGTGTTACATTAGGAAGAAAAGCGGGGGGAGAGGTGGAGGGGGGCCATGGTAGGTGGAGGTGGGGTCGGGTGGCGATGTTTCTATTTTACTTAATGTATGTGTGGGGTTTTGTGTCAGCGTCGCTTGTGCAGGTTCTCTTTGCTATTCGCTTGTCTTCTTTTGGTGGTGTGAGAGATTCAGGTTGGCCTAGGGTGTGGTTGTTTGTTTGTGATTGGCTGTGGTGAATTTTGTTTTCGTGTGTGAGTGGGGTGGGTGGGTGTTTTTGGATCAGGTTAACAATATTGATCTGTATGCTGTTAGTAGATTCTTGTCGTTGTCTTGTTGGGCTGTGTAAAGGGGAGCCATACCGGCGTGAAGGCGTCTTCTTCTATTTGCCCCTGTGTCAGTTTCAGTTTAGGCCCGGAAACTAATTGCATTGCAGCTGGACCAGGAACGGTGTATTATGTTCAAACCATCTTGCCCCAGTGAGCAACCTGGCCTCTGAATTCTGCACTAGCTTGTTTCAGAACTGTCTTCAGAGGCAGTCCTACATATAATCTAACCTAGATGGGACGCGGGTGGCGCTGTGGTCTAAGCCACTGAGCCTTGGGCTTACTGATCAGAAGGTCAATGGTTCAAATCCCTGCGACAGGGTGAGCTCCCGTTGCTCGGTCCCTGCTCCTGCCAACCTAGCAGTTCAAAAGCACATCCAAGTGCAAGTAGAGAGGTACCACTCCAGTGGGAAGGTAAACCGCATTTCCGTGCGCTCCTCTAGTTCGCCAGAAGTGGCTTAGTCATGCTGGACACATGACCCGGAAGCTGTCTGTGGACAAACGCCGGCTCCCTTGGCCTATAAAGCACGATGAGCATGCAACCCAAGTTGTCTGCAACTGGACCTAACAGACAGGGGTACCTTTACCTTAACCTTCAATCTAACCTAGAGGTTACCAGAGCATAGACCACAGTAGTTTGGGGCGTAGCTGGGCCACCAGTCAAAGCTGATGGAAGGCACTCCTGAGCCTCAAATGACAGCAAAGATTCCAGGAGGACCCCCAAACTAAACTTCAGAGGAAGTGTAACCCCATGAAGAGCAGGAGACCTTGATGGGCAGGCCTATCTGGTCTACGTATGAAGTCCATAGCTGTCAACTTTCAGATTTGAAAATAAGGGACCAGCAGCCTCACCTGTCGGGGGGGGGGGCAGAAATTAAACTGGCAAGTTACTTAACTTTTATTTTTTCGCTTTCCATTTAGACAACATCGGACCGCCTTGCAAAATATCGGACCTGACGAAATCGCATCGCTGATAGGGAACTTGCACGCTCCTCCTCATCCCGCCCCGCCTCATTGCCAGAGGCTGCTGGACTACAACTCCCATCACCCCCACCGCTGCCCATACTGGCTGGGGCAGTGGGAGTTGTAGTCCAGCAACACCTGCAAGGATGCAGCCACACCCCTTACACACACACACACACACACACACACCCCGAAGTTTGACTGAGCTCCTTGGAGGAAAGGCGGGATAAACTTGCCGAATGACTTAAGGAGCCACATAGCCCCTTTCTTGCTTTCCCTTGGAATGGCCCGACTCTGTGGTCGAACACTCTCTACCTCCTCCCACCTCTATGGTTACCGGCGGGGCGGGGGGGGGGAGATAACCCTTTTCCGCCACGTGACCTGGAAGCGGATGTACGATAGAGGAAGAGAAAGAAAGCAGGCACTCACGCTTCCGGGTCTGGTTTGCTTGCTGCTGGAAGAGAGGATGCGGAGCTGCGAGAGCAGCAAGAGAAGGAGGAGCGCGGATATCTCGTCCACCATGTGAAAGAGGAGCGCCCGACGCCCCACTCCGAGGCTCCTTCCCCCCTGGTCAGGTGAGGGGTTCTCCTGTCCACCAGGCCAGTGTTTATTTATTTTTGTGGGGGTGAGGATTCCTGAGAAGTGTAGGTAACGATGCTGTGGAAATAACACTAATTCTGGGGGGGGGGGGGAGTTGGGGGGGAGAGATGTCATGAGCATCTTTTTTTTTTAATGGAGCCCTCTTGTTCAGAGGTAGTCTACCTCTGAAAAGCAATGTTGCTCGGGTGGGGTGCGAAGCAGTGGTGCAGAGTTTTCTCCTCGATGTCATTTTTATTAGTATTATCATTTCCGTGGTGCGTGCGTGTGTTTAGTCTGGCTAACGAGAAAGGGGTGTATCTATTAGCCCCCAGAGTTTAATGGATGCTCCCTGCCCAGAAGCAGTCTGTCTCGAATGCCACAGTTCAGCAGCAGAACATGTGCCTGTGCATGTGGTAGAGCTCAGGTTCAATATTTGTTTTGCCTAGGTAAGGTGGTGGTAAGAACCTCCTGCCTGCCTGAGAACCTTGGACAGCTGCTGCCACATCAGAATAGACAATACTTTAGCTTACACAGAAGACTAAGAATTTGACTTGTATCATGTTACGCATTTAGGAGGTGGGGAAAACCAACAGGGAAGAGTGTTCACCATCATGTCCTCCTTCATTTCCTTCATTTGCAAGAGGTGTGTAATAATTATTTTTAGTGCTCATGCACTTTGAATCAAGAGACTCATCCTTGAGACAGCAAAACTAGCTTCTGAAGAGGAGCTGCTTAAACAGTGTTGCATGCTATCTGATAAATTAACCTTTATCATGTAGCAATGAACTTTTTATCATGTGGTATGCAAGGCTGCTTAAGCAGTTCCTCTGAAGCAACTGGTTTTTGTGTCTAAAAACACAGTGAGTCCTTGTAAAATCTGATTCCTATGCACTTTTGAGGTTTTCTCCTTGAGAACTAATGCCTCTTCTCCCTCCCTCCCTCCCTCCCTCTCTTTTCTTTTTGCTTACTCTGGAAGCAGAAGCTGGACTAGATGAACCCCTTATCCAATCCTCTGGGGCTTCTATTTCATATTAAGCTGCTCCCCAGAAAGTGTTGAGTATTAGTAATGCTGTGGCTGCAAACCAACTTTCTTAGAAGTCCCAGCTAAGTTATTCTGAGTAATCATGTATGCATGAGATATCTCAGTTAAAAGGTGGACCTTAATGACCCTCTAAGGTAGGTCAGTATTATCTCCATATTGCAAACAGGGGTTTGACTGAACTTGGGAGAACAGTGAAATATTTATAGCTGTCTGGCTTTTGGTAAGATTTGAACTGGAAAGCTTCGAGTTCACAGCTCAGTCTCTTACTCACTCTGCTGCTTTGTGTCAGCAGCAGATGGGAAGTTGTAGTTGAAAACATCTGGAGGAAACAAGGTTGGCAAAGGCTGCTTTATATTAATTGGGGAGGTGATGAGAACTACATTTCCCTTCCCTGAGGAGGAGGAGGAAGAGGAGGAGGAGGAGAGCAAAGCTCATGTGGATCCATGGTCCCATTTGATGTGTACGTTTGGGATGCAAGTGCTGGGTTTGTTTGGATTGCTAGTTTTTGATCACCTTGCCTTCCTTACTCTTACATACACATCAAGTCTTCCTGGAATGCATCCCTTTTACTTTTCAAGAAATCATACAGTTTCAATTTGTTTGCCCAGATTTCTCAACTAGTCTCTAGCATTGTTATGTGGCCTGCAATTCTTTCAAAAAGTCCAATGAAATGTTTCCAGTAAAACTCCTCTTTTTTGGCTGAAAGTATCATTTTACTAGTTCTTTAAAAAAATCACAGATCTCTCCCATAAGAAAAGCCCTGCCAGATCCCAAAAGGTCAAGCTAATTCACTGTTCTTCAACCCTGGGTCCCCAGATGAGGTTGGACTACAACTCCCATCATCCCCAGCTATTTTAGCCAATGGGAATTGTAGGATGATGGGAGTTGTTGTCCAACGTATGGGGACCCGAAGCTGAAAAGCATTGGCTGTAATCCACCATCTTGCTTCATGCAGTGGCCAACCAGATACTTCTGGAAGTCCTTAACCAGAGCATAAGATCAACAGCTCCACCCCAGCCTCTGTTCTTTAGAGACATACTGGCTTTGAATACGGAGTTTCTAAATAGTCATCCTGGCTTAGAGGGATTGATAGACCTCTGCTTTCCCATGCTTGCGGCTAATCCCTTTTTAAAGCCATTTAATGTAGTGACCAACAGCATGTCTTGTGACAGTGGGAAGAGTTCTGCTGTGAGTTGTCTTTTAATTTTACCAAAGCAAAACTCTAGAATTTGAGTTATTTATCTTGTTTTACTGTGCTGCCTTTTCTCTTGGCACTTTAATTTAATTTATTTATTTTTATGTATTTTTGCTTTAGAAAAGCCATAAGCACTTTCTCATGATCTAGCAAGTTGCTGTTGCTATGGCAACAGGTGTTTTCTCAACAGAGCCAAGTTCCTTTCTACCTCAGAGATGCTCTTAATGCATTCAGAGCTGCTTAGAGTTTGTCTGCCTGTGACATTAGAGTAGTCATTACTTGCTCTACCTCTGTTCCTTAAATCCCCTGTTTCTCATACATGTCTGCAATCTGAGACCTAGGTGTAGCATCACCATAAACGATGCCTTCTGTTGTGTGGCTGATGCTTATAGCAGTGAGTAATTTTAAAAATAGACCACATGGAAAAGAAATAGAGGAATGAAGCCTGATTACTTCTGATTACTAGTGGTTTTACTATTTATACCTGGGTTACCTATTCGTGCTGTCTTCGAATTATGTTGGATAATGTTAGGAAAGTTTTTAATGTTTGAAGTTTTATTCTGTTTAATACTCTGTTGGGAGCTGCCCAGAGTGGCTGGGGAAACCTAGCCAGATGGGTTGACTATAAATAATAATTAATAATAATTATGTAATTATTATTATTATTATTATTATTATTAAGCACCAACAATGTTATAAAATAAATAAAAAAGAAGAGTTTTGTAGTTTCTCTTTTTTATTTATACTATATCTGTATACTATTGTATTTATTAAGGGATTGTTAGTTTAACTTCATAATTAAGTTCCATTTTGTGATATAAGCCAATGTGATATTGACAGATAAAGCAGGGACAGGGAGCTGAAGCCAAACCCAGCTTCCAAAGGCTTCTCAGCACAGGTCCTGAACCTAAGCCCTGTTTCCTTTTATATAATTTATTGCTTCAGTGGGACAAATCTATTTCAGAACTCATTGGCTTGGATTCTTTTTTCCTTGCAAGTTTTTGTATTTCTTTCTGATTTAACACTTGGCAGATTTCTCTTGAGCTTGATAGACCTCAATTTAAAACTTATGCACCCAAAATCAAAAGGGTGCTAAACTGATATACCGTTGTTGTTGTTGTTGTTTTCCTTTTTTAGTACTTACTCCTAAGATGTGAACTTTAGGTGTCATGACAAGTAATTGTCTTGCAGCTTCATGCTGCCAGCACCTGCCTTTTCTGTTTAGAAAATCCTGCAGGGAGTGCTGGCTGGCTGGAACCCTGAACAGGAACACTCATGGGAAGGGGCGGAAGATACTCTTAAACATTTTGATGCAATGCCCATTTGTTACTTAACACTGATTTACAAAAACTACTAGCCTTATAAAACATGAACAGCATATTTATATTCTCATAAAAACAGAGCTGGAAGGGATCTCAGAGGTCATGCAGTGCAACCCTCCTTCTCATGTGGAAAATCCCATTACACATCACTAATTAAAAAAAAGGCTACCATGCAGTCCGCTAGAAGATGGAGGCAGATCCCAGGCAGTCTGTTAGATTGCCAAGTAGCTTATAAAGTCAGGACATTTTTACTAACATTTAGTCAAAGTCCCCTTCCTTGTCATTTGAACCTGTTGAGTCCCTATCCTCTGGAGCAACAGCAAACAAACCTGCTCTGTCAACTGTGTCTGGAGACACTTGCAGTGACATATCAGGTGTCAAATGGGAGAAGCTGCTCCAACTGCTCTTTGCTTCAGACAGCTACAGGGCTAGGGGACAAAGGTGCCCCTCACTCCTTGTCTTGCTAACAAGAACAAATAAGATAAGCTGTTTATAGTGTCATTCTTGGAAATGTGACAAAAATTGACCAGTCAGTTGACTAGCAGGCTTTACCCTAATCCAACAATAGTGAGCGGGGTGCCTCTCCATTTTTTCTGGGCTATAGCACCCAACAGTGACAGGCAGCAAGGCCTATTGAAAGGAAAGATGGGCGCAGTAGTCTGTAACATTTGAAAGGCAATACACTGGGTACCCCGTACTACTCTTGTCCTGTGTGCCACTCTGACAGCACAGGGCCACTGCAGGGCTTAGATCTTAGATTCTCAGAATCAGAGAAGATCTTTACTTGTTCTAAGATGTTAAAGCCAACCTTTAATCCTTATCTTAATTAGCCTCAGCTACTTGTATTCTGTGCAGATCCCATGCATTATACTGACTTTCTTAAAGTAAAGATTGGAGAGTTTAATATGGACGGAAACAAGAATTGATATCTGCTTTTTCTGCTATATATACTTAGAATGTTTCTAGTACCAGATTGTACAGCACCTGTAATTTGAGAGAGATGCAGATCAGGGCTGAGAAAACCCCAGCTCCCAAGTTCCCCTTGGAGTGCCAATAAAATGTGATGTAGACATTTAGAAATAGTGGATTTTCTCCCCATGCCCTAACTCCAAGCTGTCACCCAAGATCAGCCTTTCAAAGCCCAGTGCCCTCAAGATATTTTGGACTACAACTTCTATCACCTCTGACCTTTGCCTATGCCTAGCTATTGGAGATTGTAGTTCAAAACATCTGGAGGGGCAGTAGGTTGGCAAAGTCTGCCCTAGACCTTTCTGAGCATTTGTGTTACTATTGCTACCACTAAAGCTTCCATTGAAGTTTATAGTCCTTTCATGGGTGCATGCTTGTGAGAATCTTTGGTGCGTATTTATGCATTTATTTGGGTTTCTAGCCTGCCCCATCCCAAAGTGCTCAGAACTCATAATATTTAAGTGGATCTGCCCTCTCCTAATGCTTGACCGCTAAAAGACAGTTGGAATGAAAATATTTTATGTGTACAAAAGCTTGCAGTACAGTGGTACCTCTGGTTATGAACTTAATTCATTCCGGAGGTCTGTTCCTAAGTTGAAACCATTCTTATCCTGAGGCGCACTTTCGCTAATGGCGCCTCCCACTGCGCAACTTCCGCTCACATCCTGGGGCAAAGTTTGCAACCGGGAGCAACTACTACTTCCGGGTTAGCAGAGCTTGTAACCAAAAGCGTGCGTAACCAGAAGCGTTCGTAACCAGAGGTACCACTGCACTGAAAAGTGGAGATGGAGAAAGTCTGCTTCAAGTTTGCAAATAGCCATTCATCTGTGGCAGGTCGCAATTGGATCCAAATTTTGAAAACTCATAGAGGAATTTGGTTCTTTCAGGTTTTCAGAATGGCATAAATGGACATGAAAGGCTTGTAAAAGAGTGTGTGTGTACGTGTGTGTGTGCACGCATGCATGCATGCACACATTTACTAATACATTTGGGGGGATTTATTTATTTGCAAAGTTGGGTCCACTTTCATAGTCTTGAAAACCAATGTTCATCTTTTGCAGCACACTGATGAAATGGAGCCTGGAACAAATTCTTTCAGAGTGGAGTTCCCTGACTTCTGCAGCACCGTTTTGCAGAAGCTGAACCAGCAACGCCAGCAAGGGCAGCTCTGTGATGTTTCTATTGTTGTTCAGGGACATTTGTTCCGAGCCCACAAAGCTGTCTTGGCAGCCAGCTCCCCTTACTTCTGCGACCAAGTGCTCTTGAAAAACAGTCGACGGATTGTTCTGCCTGACGTCATGAACCCCAGAGTGTTTGAGAACATCCTTCTGTCAACTTACACTGGGCGCCTGGTGATGCCCGCGCCAGAGATTGTCAGCTACCTCACAGCGGCAAGTTTTCTTCAGATGTGGCACGTGGTAGACAAATGCACTGAGGTGCTGGAAGGAAACCCTTCCGTTCTTTGTCAAAAGTTGAATCGTGCCAGTGACCACCAGTCCCCCAGCAGCAGTAACTACAATGGCCTGGTGGAGAGCTTTGAGATAGGGTCTGTGGGGCAGGCAGACTTCCACAAAGTGCAGGATGGTGAAAATGAAGAGGAAAGCTCGAAAGATGAACTGTTGTCTCAACTCACAGAACATGAGTATCTCCCCAGCAATTCTTCAACGGAACATGACCGTCTGAGCACAGGGATGACAAGCCAGGATGGAGAGGAAGGAGCAAGCGACAGTGCTGAGTATCAGTACGCCAGGCCCCTTTACAGCAAACCGAGCATCATGTCTCACAAGCGGTGGATCCATGTGAAGACAGAGAGGTTTGTGCAGGACTGCGAAGGGGTGGAGGTGCATGGCCCTTACGATGAGCAGCAGGTGTCTGAATCCATGAATGCCATTCAGGTGAGCCACTCTGTCCCGACGTCTGGCCCCGAAGACCTTCGTGTCAATGAAAAAAAGATGGGGACAGAGTTTGGTGAGCAAGCCAATGAAAGCAATTACGATGAGCAAGTGGACTTCTACGGCTCTTCCATGGAAGAGTTTTCTGGGGAAAGGGCCGATGGGACACTCAGCCTTCAGAGACAGGACGCTGGGATTGCTGCAGGTTATGGAGATAGCATGGACATTCCCTCGGGGATCAAGGAAGAAAATGCCCTGTCTGGGTTCTCCACAGCTGACAAACTTTACCCCTGCCAGTGTGGCAAAAGCTTTACCCACAAAAGCCAGAGGGACCGCCACATGGGCATGCACCTCGGCCTGCGGCCTTACGGTTGTGGCGTGTGTGGTAAGAAGTTCAAAATGAAGCACCACCTTGTTGGCCACATGAAAATTCACACTGGCATCAAGCCTTATGAGTGCAACATTTGTGGGAAAAGGTTCATGTGGAGGGACAGTTTTCATCGGCATGTAACATCTTGTACAAAGTCATACCAAGCCTGTAAGGTGGAACAGAACACTACTGAGATGAATTGAAAACAGGTGCCAGGCAGTGGGGTGGGGAGAGTGTATGGGAAGGGAAAAGGCAGAGAGAACCAGATTACATAACTGCATCATAGAGTAACACAGAATGTATATGTTGCACAGAGTGTGCCATGTACTACGCTGCTGAGATTCTGGATGGTTGTTTTTTTTTTTAAAAAAAAATCCTATAGCACAAGTGGGATCACCTGTGGAGGCAAGCAGGGAATTCTGCCCAGGCTACAAGTAAGGAGGCAAGTTTGAGTGGCAGTACTTTAGTGTAATTATAATTATTGCTATTTATTATTCTTTGTGTTTTGGTAGCACTTGAGGAGAGGGGTTCCCTCTCATCTCATTAGTGTTCTCTGCTCTCAGTGAGTCTGCATATAGATAGCTGCACATCCTGAGCGCCTTGGTTGGATGACTGTAGTCCCATGTTCAGAAGTCCTTGTGATTTTGTTCAGCCAAATAGATATATGAGCAGTTACCTTTTTTGAACCAAAGGGGCAATTATAGATACTTTAACACAAGTTGCTAGACAACTTTCAGGGGCCGACAGCTTTAACAAGCGGCTGCTTTTTTTAATCAGTCAAGCTTTGAGTTCCATTGACTGGCTCTGTTTATCTTGGCAGAGTGATTCTGCGTCATGCTTATTTTTTAATTCTTTTGTAAAGCAGTTGGCTATTTTGTGATGGACACTTTATATAGAGACAGATTAAACTATAACCTCATCTCTCTCCAACTCCTCAACCCCTCTCCCTGTTGTGCCTCATACAGCTAGCCAGTCTGCACTTTTGGCTGCCACAATAGTGAGTATCATGTTTGCTCCCCAGTTGGAGATTAAAATGCTCTTTTTCTAGCACTTGAGATTCCAGGCAGACACCTGTCCAGTTTTCATTTTTTTCTGTTTTGGGGTATTTGCTTTGGGAAGTGTTGGTTAGGTACCAGGACTTCAGAGAACAAAATCTAATGTACTGAATTCTGTGTCACTGTTTGCAATGAACACTTTTGGTACTGATCTCCTCACTTAACTCAGGTGGGGAGCCATGAGGGACTGAGGCTGCGGAAACAGCTCTAAATGAACTTACTCTGCATCACTCTCTAAGGAAGCTGCTTGATGATTAAGAATCAAAGAATGGCTACTGCTGGGTGCTCCCCAACCTGGAAGCAGCTTGTGGATTTCTGAACATGATTCTTATCCTCTGTGAAGGAAGAATTTTTAAACACTGGATACCTTTTTTTGTAACCACAAGTAGTTTTAAATTTTTAAAACTAGAACTGCTGTTATATTCCTTCCTTCTCACTCCTTTCGTCAACCCCAACTACAGGGTGAATGCACAAGATGGAAGAAACTTAGAACGGTCAAAGCATTTGTGCTGCTGTTTGATAGTAATTGGGGTGCAGAAATCCCCCATATTTGCTGTGGACAGAGGTTGTCATATATGTTGATTGGTAAATGAGGTGTTTCCTTAACAGAATACTCTGCTGGTGCCAAGGAGGCTTGCTAGTGCCAAGGCATGTCATTCCACCCCTGCCCCCCAAACTTCAGCCTGAATAGAAAAAGAGGTGGGGAGATGGGTGGACCTTGTGCATATTCACCAAGGAAAGCAAACATTTCTGGGGTTATTACCCTCTTCCCTTAACTACAGAGTTTAAACAAACTTTTCATGTGATAAGCTGGGCCTGGAATATGAGTGTCTGGCACAAATATGGGTTTGGTTGTTTGGTAAGGTTGTAGTGCTGTAACTTCTCCTTTGGTGGAACTATTTAATGGCTTTTACTTACAAAAAACATGTTAAAAGCTTTTCTAAATCAACACAAGATCAATTTTTGATATATCTTCCCCCCCCCCTCAGTCATCAGCAATCCATATATGATATTTTTGTTGCTGGCACATGCAACAATAAATAATCTGCTGTTTTCTCTGCTTAGATGAGCTCAGCAGCACACCAGGGTGGAAATGACTGTCACCAACTTGAACCCTACCAAACAAGTTAACCCAACAGGGATCTTCTTGCTAACACTGTAACCTGCTAAATGTATAGAAGCACTTTGTATTTAAAAACAAAACAAAAACCATTTATAAATGTTTTTTTTAGAACTTCCAAGATAGATATATATATTCCCTCTGGTTTGTTTTCTTATTCATGTTGTCCGTTCAATTTTTTCCTTGTCTTCAATCTTGAAATTTTATATTGATAAGAAGCTTTTTGTTTATATGAGCACAGGGTCTGGGGTTTGTGTAAGAAGAACTGATCCTAAGGGTCTGCTTTTAGTTTTGTCTTCTTTAAAAAAAAAAAAATCCTTATTGCCTTAGAATCTCCAGGAAGCCATTTTATTTGCAAACTTCTACAACAGGTGTGGGGAAACTTGGACTGCCCAGTTGCTGCTGAACTACAGCTCTCATCATCCATGACCATTGGCCATGGTTGCTGGCTGATTGGAGTTATAGCTCAAATGTTCCCTGCTCCTGTTCTTTGGGCTCTGTTACGGAAAAGAGAACCTGTATTTCTTACGGCTCCCCACAGCATTTCTCAGCTTTCCTTGCGCTGTGACCTCACTCAAACGTTTGTGCTGCCAATCTAGCCATAGCAAATGGAAGGAAGGCTCAACCTGCCCCATTCTGACTGCCAACATTTTCTACCTGCCCTGCTATTGTGCTCTTAACTGCATCTTGATGTGACACATTTAAGCTGACAAAGCTTTTCCTGCAATGGAGAACTGGGAGTGGGGAAACCTCACCTGTTTAAATGTTGCATGTTAAGCAGCTACAAGAGTCACTGGAGCAGAGGCCTGACAACCCTACTCCAAACCAGAGTTCCTTCAGGCCTACCACAAAAGCCCTTTTGCTTAATCCACTGGAGAGTTCTTCTTGTACAGGCGCCATAGATGGGAAGCTGTGCAAGAATGGTTCTGCTTTTGCTTCATAAGGGCTTGTGCATTTAGACTTCTTGGCTGGATTATCTCCCTCTATTAGCTTGATGCCTTCTCTGGACAGGACATACAGAGGTCAATTGAGTTTAAGTTTTTGAATAACTTATGACTTCAGAGCTTTGAAATGTAGGTAAGATGGTAAGGGGTTTCCTACTGGAGTGTAAGATATACAAGAACCTTTCACGGTCCCAGTTCTCATGTCATGGTAACTCAATGGCACCTGCTTCGCTTCTCCCCTTGGCTTAGTGGTATGTCAACCTGTCTTGATTTGCTCCAACCAAGACTGTGATTGGTAAACCAACAACAAACCTTAGTTTCACTTTGTGGTTTGTTTTGGAGCAAAACAAATCACGTTCTGCTGTTCAGTCATAATGTTAAGCCCAGAGATTGTGGTTTCTTGCTCTTGACTTGTGCTAATGGAGGAGGAGTAAATCAGCAGGTATAGGTTAATTATGGTTCACCATGATGTGTGAATAATGTTCAGTGTTAAATACATTGGGGGGGGGTATTATCTCCAGGAACTTGGACTGCAATCCTGGGCCAGTTCAGAAAATGGGTGTGATGGTGTTAAGTTCCTGATGGCGGCAGTTCCAAACTGACTGGCTTACACATAGTTGGGTTGTGTGGGAAATTCCAGCACAAGTAGCTACTGGGAAAGGTTAGGCCCAAAGCTTGGAATTTGTACCCCTCCCCCTCTGTTCATGGGCCCATAATTTTGTGCATAAGAGAGATGAAAGAGCAATATAAATTACCACCATGCTATGCTAAGTTCCCTTTATTAATAAGGGAAGTGCTAACTAATGATGCCTTGCCAACAAATCTGTAAAAATTTTATGCTACTACCATCCTTGTCATATTTGGGGTACTTTATGTGACTTACATTCAAAAATGAAACACGACTTTGAAACTGTATAGAATGCTTTGGTATCAGGGACATGCTTCACTTTTAGAGCAGCCTTCCTCAACCTGGTGCTCTCAAGATGTATTGGACTACAACTCTAGTCAGCACCAGACAACATGGAAGCGCACCAGGGTAAGGATGGGAAATGGGGAGAAAAAGCCCTTGGATACATTTGAAGTAAAGCCCCATCTGCACCATAGATTTAAAACAACATCATACCACTTTAAACAGTTATGGCTTCCTCCAAAGAATTCTGGGAACTGTAGTTGATTGCAGGTGCTGAGAGTTATTAGAAGACCCCTTATTCCCTTCATAAAATTCCTGGAATTCTATGGGAAGAGGTATTGATTGTTAACCTAGAATTCTTTAGGGGAAGCCAGGACTGTTTAAAGTGGTATGATACTGGTTTTGCTTTATAGTGCAGATGGGAGCGGAGTCCTGAAAAGGGCAACTAGGATAGTATATCACTTTATTTCATTATAGCTTTTGGTGGTCCAGAAGCGCACAGTGCAAGTAGATAAGTAGGTACCGCTCCGGCAGGAAGGTAAACGGGGTTTCCGTGCGTTGCTCTGGTTTCACCAGAAGCGGCTTAGTCATGCTGGCCACATGACCTGGAAAAACTGTCTGTGGACAAACATCGGCTCAGCTGCAACCCCAGAGTCCTCTGCGACTGAACTTAGCTGTCAGGGGTCTCTTTACCTTTACTATATTCATGCTGATTTGTGAAGCTAAAACTGCTGGGTTTGGGAACTCTGTTTTTCCTGATCCTTAAAGGATTTTAAGAGGTATTAACCACAGACCCTGAGTGCTTAACGGGTGATTTGTCAACACTTTGCTAACACAGCATGCTTCACAAGTTGAAAAGAGTGTAGATTTACTGTAAAGACTGCTTCTGGCATTCCCCACCCCTTCAAAGTGGCAAATCTTATGTGTTGAATGTTTTAGGGCAGATGCTATTTCTAAATATAAGAGTCTATTTTAAAAAATATTTGTTTTTATCTGGTAGTGGAATGTTAATACATTCTGTAAGCATACACATTTTAATTCAAATATTTCTATTTAATTTGGATAGTTAAAATCATTTTAGGACTAGCAGCTGGAGCCCTGAAGGCAAAGAGCTGAAAAATGAATTGCATATTAGCACTTCTTTTTAAAGCAGGGTCATTGTCATACTTCTTTGCTTGAAAGCTGCTTCCTGCATCAGCCACTGCTGCTTTTCTTCAACTTTCCCTTCTGGGCTCCACTATATTTCTTAAATAAATGTAACTGTTCATATGCGAGTGAGGTGAACCTTTCTTGTTCCTCTAAAAAAATTCCCCCTCAAAAGCATTGTCACTTGTAATATTACAGTTCATATCCTGTTGATCTTCTGTGAGTTGTTACACCTATATTGCAAAGGATGGATAATTTGATATCTCTTTTAATATTGCTGTCCTAATAATGTACAGCATGGTTTTATGTGACATTACTGTTTCATTGTTTTCTTCTTATAGAAGAGTCTGTTGGTCTTTTGTATAACATGTTTTAATAAATGTTATCTGTCTTTTCCCCCCTGGATTTTTACATTTATTTATCAAAATATCATTGCACTTGATAATGCACATTATAGGTCTTGAAAACTTTATTGTGGCTTAATGGACTTGCTGCAGGATGAAAGTCTGTGAAAGCTTATGCTAGGCTTGTAAATACGCCAACAAATGTTACTATCCTGCCACCACCTCACTCCAGAAAAATACCAACCCTGATTTCCATGCTGGATGGAACTGAGGAACTGCATTGCAGAATTAGGAGAAGTGCGAATTTGAAAGGTGACCTGCATTTTCGATTGCTTGTTTCAAAAAATGCAAGTTAGGTAGGTCTGTCTTTAAGGGCAGACAGAATTGAATTTCACCCTGATTGCTGCTGTTAGATTACTAAAAAAAAAAAGGTTGACCAGTTGGACTGGCAGAGGAAGAATGGATCACTTGGCCCCCTCTCCATCAAACTCCATTGTATTTCCATGCCAGTCATGGAAGAGGGGACTTTCCTTCCTCGGGCTAACACAGGAACCAAATGGGCTGGCAGAGGAGGAATGGGCCAATGCACCCTTCATCCACCAGCCTGAATACTCGCCTACATGGAATTCCTCATCACCTATGGCTATCAAGTGAGTTCTTAAGTAAAAAACCTGACCCAAAGTGGAAAGAAAGTTACAACTTGTAAGATGCTTTGTGCGTTTGTTATAACAAGCTAACATGACTACCACTCTGGAACACCTCTGATTAGGAAGGACCTTAAAATGGAAATTGAAGCCCGGGCTTGTGCTAAATTTTGTATCAGAATGGGTGCTTTGTTGTATTTTTGTGTTACGTACAGAGCCTGGTGAGAAAAGCAGGAAAAGAGAAGCAGTAGATGAGCTTTTGTCTGCTTACGCACCATGCATTTAAAGCACAAACCTATATAAAAATAAGCACCTGGGAAGTGTAGTTTGAGGCTGCTGAAAATTGTAGATCTTTGAGGGATAAACTACAGTTTCCAGGATTCTTTGGGGAGGGTGCTGTTATGACATTTGCTTATGTTCAACGTTGCGCTGTGGTGAATTTTCCATCAGTGCAAGGTTTATCCTTGTGCAATTGAATGTTACCTCCCTCTTTGCCCCCTGCATGCCCACTAAATCTGCTCTGGGGGTTCCCCAAACACACTGGAACAATTTGGGAGATGGTGCAGGGCACAAGGTGGCAGAAGTTTTGGGAGAAAGGTGGCAGATAACTGGTTTGTGATATGCACAAAAATAATGTGATACCATTGTGGTGAACAACATGAAGACTAGCCTCAAGGAAGGATGTCCAGTTCCACTCACCAATGTTCAAATGAGTACAGGGAAAAATACAAGGATAAGTAACTTAACACTGTATTCACAACAAACGGAATTTAATCTCCCCATTTTGTCAGGGTATTCATATTTGGAAGTTTCTTTCCAAAACATTAAAAAGATATATCCAGTCTCAACAAATTTGCCCTCTATGCAGCTGTCATAACTGACATTCCGTGCTCTGGACCAAGAAGAATGTTTGCTTTCCAAACAAAGTGGGTGAACTTCAACTTAAATCAGGTCACTTTGCTAAGTCCACAGTAAATTCAATATTCATGCATAAGAACCTTGCTCTACACAGTTTTGAAATAGTGAACATGTTGATTCAGTGCCCTTTCCAAGTTTCTTCACAGAGGGGATATTGTGTGCTATATATATATATATATATATATATATATGATCTGTTGTGCATGAATAAAGTCTAGCATGTAGAAAAAGCTATAATAGGGATTCAATGTAAATTATACACATTTAAACATTTAAAACAAAAGAAACCCTTCTCTTAGTACCATGTCAATGCTTTGACCTAGCTGTTGATATAATCAAATCCTGAAGCAAAATTAAGATTAGGCTGTTCATGGTAGGATTAATTGTACTATAATCATGTGGCATTATATTGCTTGCTGAATATGGCCATAAATACTTTTCAAATCAGAGAAGCATCCTATAAGGTCTATTAAGATGAGGTCTTAGTTGACATCACCTAACCTTTTGGTTTGCCTTTCTGGCCTTTGCTGATTTACTCAGCTGGTGTGATGTGTTTAGAAACATTACGGGTACTTTTTTTCTTACTGAAAATATCTACATGATTAATTCGAAGCTGTGTGAAATCTTTGCTTTACGCTTCATAATCAGGCTTGCTAGTGATGTACCTGAGACACTTTGGAAATTCTACCACGTTGAACAGTTGTGAAAGTTATTTATACTGTATAGTTCACATTTCCTAAAGCAGAGGAATTTCTGGAGCATAGCACAACTTTTTTACCCTACATGCCAGTTTTAATAGGAAAGCAGAATTACTTTATTACCTTATTCCAACAAATACTAAAAAGCTCACAACCCGCTCGTGGAGACTATCAGAGGTCACAAAGAAAGGAATATATGACAACAACAAGAAAATGAGGAAAACAATAAAGAGAAGATTGGATAGAACTCTGAATACTATTTGGACAGAACTGTAACACTAAAGCAGCAGCAAGAGAGATGTTTGGATCCCTTTCTGAGCTCAAAGCATGGGTACCCCCAACAAAAAATTTAAAAATTTGGTTTTGTAATTTGGAACTAATGTGATTTGATTGGTTTGTTAATAAAAATTATATTTAAAAAAAATACTAAAAAGCTCACACCATAGAAACCCACAGTGTAAACACCCACATAAATACTGATTTTTAAGTACACACCAAGCCAGAATGAATTGTGATCTTACTAACCTCCATGTCCCTGGAGATACCAGTCACTGAGAGTTCATGATTATAAGAATCTAATGCTCAGCTTTAATCAGTTTATAAACTTTGGACCCCCAAAATGAAAACCATTTAAATTAGCTTATTTTTGCAAAACAGGAAGACAAATACAGATTAGAAATGTTAAATCTGCAACACATGCTTGTTGTGGAAAACCCCAAGAAGTGTGATTTTTTAAAAACTTTGTACAGGAGGCTAGGTTCTACACACCCTCCTTCTTCCAGACAAGCAGTATTCACTATCAGTTAAATGACATATTCCAGCCAGGCAAAAATATTTGGAATGCAAAGCAGAGCTAGTGTGGGATGTGACCTGGAGAGAGAGGATGCGGACTGTGACATTTCAAACCAGTGTCCACATATTTCAGGTTTTCCCCTGTGTGCAGACTAACACCTTGTGATTATTCTCTTATATATGCACCCCCTATTGGGTCAATAGGCTACATGGCAGTATAAGCTCACACAGTGCTGTCCTATGATCATGTCCCACCCACAAGGTTGGTAGTGGCCCCACACATTAGTAATATATTTACAGGAGGGCCATCTCAACCACCAAGGCTTGTTTACTACATTAAAAAAGAAATACTTAAAACACATTCTGATTTAATCATTTTGCTTTGAGTTTGTGGGCAGCTACTTTCAGTTTTCCTCATTTTTATAGTTCCATCTTTTTTATATAATAGCAATGTGTGTGAACGAAGCCCTGTTTTATTGAGTGTAACATTATCGAAGGAAAAAGCACAGCATCTTAAATGCCACTTTATGATCATTTCAAACTTTACACATTATAACAAAGCAAAAGTCCATTTTCACTGATCCTCCTCCTGAGGGAAGCTTGAAGATAAGGGGGGGAGAGCACAGTGAAGTAAGGATCGATTTTGCCACAAAAACTTCAGGAGTGTAGAAATTCTGCATTACAAGGCAAATATTAATAATGTCATCCACTACTCTCAAGAAAGGCTGTTATTCCACCAAATAGAATACTCCCATACTCAATGTCAAGTTATTCAAAAAATAGAAGGTTGATGCTTTATTCAGTAGTTAACATTGAGAAAAAGCATTTCACATTATGTTTATATCTTCAACTGATGCAGCCAAGATCCTTCAGGTTATCTAAAAACGCTCATTGGAAAATGCAGGTTGGTTTAAGTGCCAATGAGTTGCAGTCTGCAAATTTGGTTGGAGGCCTTCGCAAATGTTTGGTGACAATTGCAAACGACAGCCAGGCAAATAGGAATGATACAGTAGCCCACCGCTTTGGGATCAGCTCTTGTACAGGCATAAAGGAACAAGAACATTTGTAAATAAGGGATTAAAAAGATAATAGCCAAAAGGGTACGGACAGCAGGCGTGTTTTTAAGCAGCGCGTTCAGGTAGTTTCTTCTCTCAGTTTTTCCAAGTCCAACACAGGTGCCAACTTGGACAAAGAGCTCCATTTAGAAGCCTTGTTAATGATATAGGGTTGTGTCCAATGTTAATCTTACTCGGAGTAGACCAATTGAAAAGAATTAATTAAATGAAATAACATAACATAACATAATGGAGATAAAGCTTTTTGTCCCCCCTCATTCCTGTTCGGCGCCCTCCCCCCCCCCCAAAGGAAATAAAAAGAGAGGGCAGGAACCTCTCCAGGTATAGCGGGTGTCAGAACAGCCAGCGGGGGGCGCGGAAAGATGAGAGCGCATGCGCGCCCTTCTATCGCCACCCCTCAGCCCGTTGTTGTGAGGCGCCGGAGAAAGAGCGGTTGCCGAGAAGCGGGCGTGGCCGTCGCGAGGGTGGGCGTGGCCGCGCAGGTCCGCCCCCGGCCCCACATGCCTCCTTGTCTGCCTCCCAACCGCTCCTCCCATTGCCTGTGGCGCTCCGGTAGCGGAAGTGCCTCTTCTTGAGAGTGGAGGATTCGCTTCCGGGCGCTGCTGGCCGAGGGAACTGAGGGGGGAGCAGCGTCGGCGGCGTCGGCCGGGGGGAAGGTGGCACTCGGGCCAGGACCGAGCTCCCTCCGGCGGACCCGCCATGTGAGGAGACTCCCGACGCCCCCTCAGGTGAGAAATGCGGGGGAGGGGAGGAGTGCTGGGGTTTACGGTTCTTCCAGCTCCCATATTGGGCACGCCGAAGGCATCAAAGGACGGTGTTCGCAGCAGCACCACCCCTCCGCCCCCGTTAGGCTGTGGGGCTGCGAAGGTGTAAGACTCCTGTATAGCTGCTTCCCTATTGGATGCAAAACGATGTGGGGATTAATGGATGGTGATTTATTTCATTATTTTATTTATTATTTTTTTATACCGCTCTTCACCTGAGGATCACAGGGTGGTTTAAAATATAAAAAGAAAAATGCATAACAAATTAACAATCAAAAACAATGACGGCCCTTTTGTAGGGGTTGATTGAATCCAGGTTAGTTCTTTTGGGCGTGGGGCTTTGTTCGTTACTCTTGCAAACATATCCTGCTTTTCTTCTTTGTGTCTTAGCCTTAAACTGCGTAAAAATGGAAATCTATTGTAATTTGATGCACACACATTTCTTTTCTGCACAGGCAACGTGCTTGGTTTTTCTCCCTCCCAAGTACAACAACAACCCCGTGAAGCAGACTAACGAGTGTGGTGTGTGTGTGTGTGACCCCAAGGAACCCAGTAATCTTCATGACTGACTGCTAGTTTATGCATGGGTGTACTTGGCATCAGATCTGACACTGAACCCCAGCACCACATTGACCATGGGTAGGCAAACTAAGGCCCAGGGGCCGGATGCGACCCAATCACCTTCTCAATCCGGCCCCCAGACGGTCCGGGAATCAGCATGTTTTTACATGAGTAGAATGTGTCCTTTTATTTAAAATGCATCTGTGGGTTCTTTGTGGGGCCTGCCTGGTGTTTTTACATGAGTAGAACGTGTGCTTTTATTTAAAATGTATCTCTGGGTTATTTGTGGGGCATAGGAATTCGTTCATATTTTTTTCCAAAATATAGTCTGGCCCCCAACAAGGTCTGAGGGACAGTGGACCAGTCCCCTGCTGAAAAAGTTTGCTGACCCCTGACATTGACTCTGCAGGTTGGGCACTGGTTGTCTGTTGAGTATTTTGAGTTTCCTTCAAGAAGAAGCAACAGTGTGCTATAAGTAATAGATGAAACAGTAGATGTAGGGAGCCTTTGGCACTCTGGTTGCTGTGGAACTACAACTCCTCCCAGCCCTAGCTAGGATTGCTAGTGGCCATGGGATGCTGGGAGTTGTAGTTCTAGAGGGCCAAAGGTTCGCCACACCTGATTTTTTCTACAGATTCTTCCTCAATACCAGTTTCTCTGAGCGTTTTTCAACTGAATCAGACAGCTGGTGGAAAGTGGCACACAAATCATTGGGGGGGAAAGTTCCTTCTCCCCACACCCATTTGAGTACAGTATCTATGACCTGGTATTTGAAAACAATTTGTGCTGAATCTTTACTAATTAAAATCTGCCTCAGAATGTGAATACCATCATTTGATGGAGAGGAATAGATTCTGTATGCCCTATAATTCTGTTATGTTTGAGTAGAGGTGAATTGTGAAGTGTAGTAATGATTATCTCATCAACAAGTTCTGTGGGCATCATTCTCTAGGTGTTGCACTGGGTTAATAACTTTAAAAGTGACCATATTAACTCCTCTCTACCCCTAGAACATAGTCAACATTCCAAATTAGCTGTGCCTTTGTGTATAAGTACCTGTGCCTAAGGTGTGGTTCGTTGTTCTTGAGTTTCCAAGCCTGTGGGTGAAGTGTACATTTGCAACTACTAAACTCAACTCTTCTGTTAGTAGAGCTTCCTCCCCAATAAGACTGGAGGTGGGGCAGGGGGTGTTTTTTTTTTTGCAAACGCATGGTAAATGTAAATCCCTGGACAGGCCCAGCCCAAGAAATGAGCAAATGAGTTTGAAAGGCAGCTGGCAGCAGTGCAATTGTGCTCTCGTTCTCACTGACCTCACATGTGCCTACCAATATCTCTCTTGTGCTAAATCCACACCCGCATCACGTTCTACCTTTCTGCAAAATCATTTAGCTTTTCATTTTGTGTACTTGGTACAATTTTGGTCTGGGAAGTGGGAGTGGGGGATGTTGGGTTAAAAACCAAAACCCTGTTATAAATAACACATCTTTGTATTTACTTCTGTTGGTTATTTTCACAAAGTGTCCCAAGATTGCATTCCTTGTTTTATAGTAAGCTAGCATATATGGTTTATAGCAGTGGCGTCCAGATTTGATGAAGTGGAGGGCCGTGAGGGCCGACCAAGGTTTGAAGTTGTTGAGCTTTTTTTGGGATGGAAGATTTACCCCAGGAAATGAACTGCCACGTGAGCAATGGACTTCGGACATGCCTGGTTTATAGTGTTACTTTTAACTATTTATAGTCCATAAATTATATATTTGACTGGCCAACCTGCACAAACCTATTGGTGATATGTGGCATACTGATAACATGTAAAAATGTGGGGTGAGGACATTTTTTCAATTTTCCAATGCATCACTGTATGTGGTTCTCTGGAGGTGAATCTTCCTTGCAAGGCATGACAAAGCAAGTGACTGTTTGCGAGTTTGATTTATCATCTCTATGTGCTGACCTCATTGGGCCTCTCCAGTTTATAGACTTTTTTTTTTAGAAGTCCTGTTTATTGATTTGTAAAATGTGAACATAGTTAAATAAAACGAGAGTCCGTACGTTCAAGGCTGCTTTATCTTCTCTGTATATTTATTTGCTCTTATTGCTCACTGCAAGACCAAAATGCACAGCTCGGAGGCCCCCTTTCCCTTAACCACAGAGCTGGTCATCTTTCTGAGTGAGGTTCTCAGTACATGTGACTGCACAGAGGAATAACTATAGAGAGAGACTGATTTATCAATAACCCCTTTTTGAGATGGATGGTTTTTTGCCTTTGTGTGTGCCTGGCTTTTTGTGTGGCTTACAAGGATGGCTATCAGCATAGTGGAGAGGAAGGACTTGTGCCACTCTTCCACCATGCAGTTCGGAAGCTGTTGCTTGCAAAAAAAAAAAAATTAATGCAAACCTCTAATATGTATGTTCTTTGGGAGATAAAGACTGCTGCTACTTTAAAGTTAGAAACATTTAGCTTTGCACTTGGGTTTCTATAAATGCTTTGTATTTAGAAGATTCCAGAATCAACCTCTACCTTCACAGGTAGTCTGGGTAGCAGGGCTGGGGAAAACCTCTGCCTGAATCTTGGAGGAGTTACTCTATCTGTAGTAAATAGTATGGGTTAATGGTTTTTTTCTGCATAAGGTAGCACTATATAGTCAACCAGTCCAGGAACAAGAAATCAAAATATAGTTTTCACACTTCCTTCTTTACCCAAAGAAACTGGCTCTTTCTGCTTGTAATTAGGCAGCCCTCATCTTAGGTCAGTCTTGCCCAACCTGGTAGCTTCTAGACATTTTGGACTAAAGCTTCTATCAGCACCAGCCAGTATGGTCAGTGGTTAGGAGTGATGGAAGTTTTAGTCCAGCAGCATATGGAGGGGGCACCAGGTTGTGGAAGTTTGCTTTAAGTATGATTAATTATGATAAATCTTAAGTTTTAGTTTTTACTCAGAGATGATGCAAACATTGCTGGCAAATCAATGGACAACCAATTGAACAGGTTAAATTTTACAAATATCTGAGAATAGCATTTCAAGCTACCAGCTCTTGGAAAACACAAGTGTTGTATGTGACTTTAGATGCACAACAGAGCTATAATTCACTCATCTCTTTCTTTTATGTCAAGGTAGGCCAGCATGCCCCCTTATCAATTCAAGTGTTCAGTTTTAAGATATTACCACAAATGCTGTATGGAGCACAAGTATGAACGTTTAACCGGATTGAAGCTTTATAATCTGTCTAAACAAAATTTTTGGAAAGTATTCTTGGCCTTTTAAGATGTGTGTCCAATGTACTTTTATGACTGGGGGCTGGACAAATTTCTATTGAATCTCAGGTCTTGATATATAAGCTAAAATTTTGGTTAAAACTGCTGTTCATGCCTAAAGACTCCTGCAGCCAATCGGAAGCCCCGTTGGATGTTTGGCTTCCAAAAATAGTTCACAAACCAGAACAGTCACTTCTAGGTTTGCAGCGTTCAGGAGCCCAAACATTTGAGAACTAAGCTGTTCGAAAGCCAAGGTATGAGTTTATAGGAGAAGAGTGTCTCTTGGCTGCTCAAAAACTAGTGTTGAATATTTAGAATCAAGGGAAAGTTTCTGTTATGTCTATAACTCATAACAGAAGCCCTTTCATTTGGCATTGCTCAGAGTTGGAATGCTGTATCTAGCATTTCTTCCTCCTCAATCTACAGTGAAATTGCAGTGGATAAATTTATGTTTAATTGGTTCTGTTTAAGAAAATATTGGAAAGCTATTTGTACAATTTTTCTACATTAGCCTTATTCCCCAGTGTCATTTTCTGTCAAAGATGTTTGTTGGTACTTTTTTTTTTTAAAAAAAAGGTTAAGTTGGGGCCCCTAGAAGGTAGGACAGGGTGGTATATCAATATAGCATCCAAAACCAGTTTAATTATATTGGTTGCATAATTTTTGACCTGGCAGTATATCGCAAATTGTGAAATGTGTGTGCTAAGCAAAAATCACAATACGGAAAAAACTGAAGTGAGACAATGCATCTACATAGCTCCATCCTTATTTCAGACATTGTGATATATCAGTATATTGTGATGTTTAACTGGTGATATATTGCAGTGTTGAAAATCAGATATCGCCCAACCCTAGAAGGTAGGGTATGGACCATCAAATTATCTCTTTCTTGATGGGATCCTTGCAAAAAAAAAGGGGGGGTAAACTGGGTGTGCATCAGTCCAGTTGAGCAAGTTTTGCTCCCAGGCAAGGTGGAGCTCATGAGTTCTGGCAGAATTGATCTGGGATGAGATCCTAAGTATGCACTCATGTGCTGTGTATCTTAAGATAATTTGGTGGATGGCCTTGGATATGCTGTGTCTCAAGTATTTGCTGTTCATCATACAAAGAGTATACATGCAACTCTGACATTTAGTACAGAATTGTGATCACTT